TGCGATGCAGAACTTAGAGAGTTCATGGTCGGATTAACCGGTACATGAGCTCTCCCTGCCACACTAAGATGATCCTGACCGAAAAAGAGCAGATTGTTCCTAAACCAAAAGAGGAGGTTGCACAGAAGAAAAAGATCTCTCAGAAGAAACTGAAGAAACAAAAACTTAGGGCCCAGGAACAAATCCTGCATAAAATAAATGCAAATAAAAGAAAAAAAGGTAAAAAAAAATGCCTAATAAAATGATTGAGTTTATGCAGAAGTTACCAGATTTCATTCAAGGAAATGGAACCAAGGGAAACCAAGTGGCTCCTCCCAAAGGGAAATATGTACAATTCCAATGGTTAGTTTGATTGTATGCTCTACTTGTTCATGAGTCATTTGTCTCTTCCAGAAGGCCAAATCTTTGGGTTTTAAGGTTATGCATACTTTAGGAGGATTCCAAGGCAAGTCTGCTCATACCTGTTGATGGTAAAGTCGGAGGTATTACATGAGTCCCTTGCCATATTTGGTTATGCCTGCTTGCTAGTAGCGTGTGGAGTCTAGAATCAGATGTAATATTCCTAGATGCCCAGATAAGTCAACTACTCGTAAGGCAAAAGTTGTTGAACCCCAGTGGAGTCATTAAAGCCAATGAGAATATCTTCAACTGTAGAACTTGCAGAGTCTCTGAGAACTTTGCTAAACTAAGTTTCAGAACTCCATTTGTTTATTTTCCCCTACTTTTCCTAGAAATTGGGGGCAATATGCATAGCAGACTTTCTGAGTAAGTGGTAGGGCTTTACAAAACTCTTTAATAAATAGTCCCAGGGAAACTGGTGCTTTGTTTACTAAAGAGAGAGAGGCTGGAATTCCTCAGGTTGGAGCATGAAATTAGGTAATATTTTTTATACTATAGGGCTAAAGATCTAGTAAGAAAGGATTTCAGTTTATCCTGAGAATAAGGATAGAACAATGACCAGGGCATATTTAAAACCCATAATAGGGTATACTTGGATGAAATCCATTTGGAGATGTTCAAAGAGGACCTGAATTTGGGGCTTTTGTCCAAGGCCAACCTTTAAAGTTTTTCTAAAGTTATGCTGGTGCATAACCAGCAGCAATCAGAGACACCAGCAGCAATCTTAGTAAAGTTTCCACACTGGGATGCTTAAATTTATGTCACATTTATGACTGAATTAAGGGGTGCACAGGTAGCTGGTAAAACATTATTTCTAGGAGTGTCTGTGAGGTTGTTTCTGGAAGAGATTAGCATTTGAATCATTAAACTAAAGATTTGCACTATCAGTTTGGATGGGCAACATCAAGTCAGTTGAGGGCCCGAATAGAATCAAAAGGCTGAGGGAGGCTGACTTTTCTTTACTTTTCCCTATGGACATCAGGATTCCTGGTTTGGGGGCCTTTGGAAGTGGACTGAATTATATCACTGGCTTTCCTATTTCTCCAGCTTGCAGAGAAGATAGCAGATTACAGGACTTCTTGGTCTTCATAACTATGTGATCCAATTTCTGTAATATCTGTGTGTGTGTGTGTGTGTGTGTGTGTGTGTGTGTGTGTGTGTGTGTATCTGTCTGTCTGTGTTTATTCTGTTGTGTCCATTTCTCTGGATAGCCCTGGCTAATATACCAATGTTGGTTCAGTACAGTGGCCAATTTTTCCTTGCTGTGGTAAGTAGTTTCGTGTAAACTTTTTACCATATTCCATGATGAGAGTGTCAAGACGTTATCCCTATGCAGTTTGCATCCAGATTTCTTCCAGTATTTCTCTTCTCATTCTGGATCTAATTGCTGGCATCTTGTAATAGCCTCACCTCTCCAAAGATTTGGTCTTTGGGATTTCATGAACACTAGGATTTTAGTAAAGGATGCCTGTCTCGCATTGTGATCAGCCATGGCATTTTGTTCAGTGTCATGTTATCCCTTTTGTGATAAGTTCCAACCATTATAATGACCAGTACTTTAGGATGTATTAGAGTACTTCAAAGTTCTTTAATTTTCTTATTGATCTTAATTAGATTTTCTGCTGAGATCAAGAATCATACGTGCTATCAGTTTATATATCAATTCTCTTTAAGTAACCAACAGGCTCTGGTGAATATACTGAGGCAAATTTCGCCTTCTTGCAGGGGGTCATATCCTAGAGGGGAAGTGTGAGACCTGTTATATAGTGTATCTCTCCTGATAATTTTCTATGTAAGTCCATCAACAAAGAAGTTTAAGTCTGGCTTCTCTAATAAATCAATTTGGAGCATAGATCATTCATGTTCAGAGGTTAAACAGTCGTGAGTGTCCTCTTCTCCAGGTAATAGAAGTAGAGCAGCAGTATTTCGAATATAATAATGAATATAAATGTGTGGGAAAAAAAATAGCATCTCATAGAAGATAAGCCCACCTGGTGAGAACTGTATATTACTAGTAAGCAGCAAAGATTGTACAGCATGGGACACCATCAAGTTTAAAGGAGACCCTAAAACCAAGTCTGCAGAAGCCTCTCCTAGGTTGGCGGCTGTAGCTGCCGCCCTTACCAGGTCAGTAGGTCTTGCCACCAGGTTAAGAAGAAGATTGTAGTAAGCCTTTGGCCTCTAGTGATTCTCTTGAAATTGAGTCAGAACATTAAAAGCTTGCCCAAACTCCTCTTGTACAAATAGAAAGGTTTATGATAATTAGGAAAAGCCATGGTGAGACACTATTGAAGAGTTCAACTTTGCTGTTGTAGCAACACAAAGACAGCCTTGGGTAAGGCTGTAAATGAATGAGTGTAGCCATGTTCCAATAATACTTTATTTATAAAACAGGTACTGGATATGGACCTTTTCTTTTACTAAAGAATTTAGTCTTTAATATTTATTATGTTTATTAATATTTTTGGAGTTCTTTTTACCATCTGATTTTGTGTTTTGTAAGCATTCTTTTTACATACATATTTTTTCCCTTTTCTTGGGTTGATAGAGATTTTTTAAAATTTTGTTTAAATTTCATCTCCATTGAAAGTGATGGTCCCTATTTTAATTTTTTGTGGTTCTAAAAATTCTAACAAGCATGTTTAATTGAACAAATTCAAAATTTAATCACTATTTTTGCTCATCACCCAAATTATATACTATTATTTTTTATTTTACTTGTCTATATTTAACCCCACATTTCAGTACAGTTGTTGCTGCATTTTACAGTCAATAGTAGCTTAGATTTTCTTATGCACTTTCTACTTATTTTGCTCACCATTGATTTTTGCATCAGAAATCATTTTTGGGGGGGAGTCCATTTTACTTCTTACTGGAGTAGGTCTTGTGAGTTTTAGAAGTCAGTTAGACTAATTTCTTTAGGGTAATCTTTGCCTCTAGCTGTATTTAAAATCTTGCCTTCATTGTTCTGTAATGTTTAGTTGTGAATCTCTTTAAGCTTTTTTAGAACTCATCGAGATCCTTGAATCTGAGAATTTGTGCCTTTTATCAGTGTTGGAAAATTTTCAGCTATTATGTTTTTGAACATTGCCTCATTCCTATATTATTTATTTGTTTCTTCTGGTAGTCTTAGTAGAGATGTGTTAAACATTCTCCCTCTGTTCTCAATATCTATTACATTTCTTTTTATATTTTTCGTCTATTATTCTTTCCTTCATCCTGAGTAATTTCTTCAAAATTATCTTTAATAATAATTCTTTCTTCAGCCACATCTAATCTTCTCTTTTATCTCATCATTGAGTTTCCAAATCCAATGATATGTTTTAAATTTCTAGACACTCTACTTATGAAATACGCCTGTTCATACTTTAAGTACTATCTTTTTATATTTAAATGTAGTCAATATAATTATTTCCAGTCATTGTGAGTCTGAAATGGTTGTGTTCTGTTTGAGTGTTAGTCACGTATGCTGATTTTTTTTTCTTTGTACCTAAGGGATTTTTTTTGTCTTAATTTCATATTTGCTTTATCTGTGAATTCTTGGGAGCCAGACTTCAGGGTAGAATAGGATTTGCATTTATTTCTGCCAGTCACTTGGGAGTGGTTTTTTTTTTTTTTTAATGTTTATTTATTTTTGAGAGAGAGAGAGAGAGAGAGAGAGCAAGATGGGGAGGGGCAGAGAGAGAGGGAGACACACAGTCTGAAGTAGGCCCCAGGCTCTGAACTGTCAGCACAGAGCCCAATGCCTGGGCTCAAACTCATGACCTGAGCCAAAGTTGGACGCTTAACCAACTGAGCCACCCAGGTGCCTCATTGGGAATTTTTTTTTTTTTTTAATGAAATTTATTGTCAAATTGGTTTCCATACAACACCCAGTGCTCATCCCAACAGGTGCCCTCAATACCCATCACTCACCCACCCCTGCCTCCCACCACCCATAAACCCTCAGTTCTCCGTTTTGAGGAGTCTCTTATGTTTTGGCTCCCTACCTCTCTAGCCATTTTTTTCTTTTTCTCCTCCCCCATGGTCTTCTGTTAAGTTTCTCAGGATCCACATGGGAGTGAAAACATATGGTATCTGTCCTTCTCTGTATGACTTATTTCACTTAGCATAACACTCTCCAGTTCCATCCATGTTGCTACAAAAGGCCATATTTCATTCTTTCTCATTGCCACGTAGTATTCCATTGTGTATATAAACCACAATTTCTTTATCCATTCATCAGTTGATGGACATTTAGGCTCTTTCCATAATTTAGCTATTGTTGAGAGTGCTGCTATAAACATTGGGGTACAAGTGCCCCTATGCATCAGTACTCCTGTATCCCGTGGGTAAATTCCTAGCAGTGCTACTGCTGGGTCATAGGGCAGGTCTATTTTTAATTTTGGGGGGAACCTCCACACTGTTTTCCAGAGCGGCTGCACCAGTTTGCATTCCCACCAACAGTGCAAGAGGATTCCCATTTCCCACATCCTCTCCAGCATCTATAGTCTCCTGTTTTGTTCATTTTAGCCACTCTGACTGGCATAAGGTGATACCTGAGTGTGGTTTTGATTTGTATTTCCCTGATGAGGAGCGACGTTGAGCATCTTTTAATGTGCCTATTGGCCATCCGGATGTCTTCTTTGCATGTCATCCTTGCGCAGGGTCCATGCTAATCTTCTGTGTATCGTTCCAATTTTAGTATATGTGCTGCCAAAGCGAGTACTCCAGATGTCTTCTTTAGAGAAGTATGTATTCATGTTTTCTGCCCATTTCTTCACTGGATTATTTGTTTTTTGGGTGTGCAGTTTGGTGAGCTCTTTATAAATTTTGGATACTAGCCCTTTGTCTGATATGTCATTTGCAAATATCTTTTCCCATTCTGTCGGTTGCCTTTTAGTTTTATTGATTGTTTCCTTCGCTGTGCAGAAGCTTTTTATCTTCATGAGGTCCCAATAGTTCATTTTTGCTTTTGTTTCCCTTGCCTTTGGGGATGTGTCAAGTAAGAAATTGCTGCGGCTGAGGTCAGAGAGGTTTTTTCCTGCTTTCTCCTCTAGGGTTTTGATGGTTTCCTGTCTCACATTTAGGTCCTTTATCCATTTTGAGTTTCTTTTTGTAAATGATGTAAGAAAGTGGTCTAGTTTCATCCTTCTGCATGTTGCTGTCCAGTTCTCCCAGCACCATTTGTTAAAGAGACTGTCTTTTTTCCATTGGATATTCTTTCCCGCTTTGTCAAAGATTAGTTGGCCATACTTTTGTGGGTCTAGTTCTGGGGTTTCTATTCTATTCCGTTGGTCTATGTGTCTGTTTTTGTGCCAATACCATGCTGTCTTGATGATTACAGCTTTGTAGTAGAGGCTAAAGTCTGCGATTTTGATGCCTCCTGTTTTGGTCTTCTTCTTCAAAATTACTTTGGCTATTCGGGGCCTTTTGTGGTTCCATACAAATTTTAGAATTGCTTGTTCTAGCTTCGAGAAGAATGCTGGTGCAATTTTGATTGGGATTGCATTGAATGTGTACATAGCTTTGGGTAGTATTGACATTTTAGCAATATTTATTCTTCCAATCCATGAGCACGGAATGTCTTTCCATTTCTTTATATCTTCTTCAATTTCCTTCATAAGCTTTCTATAGTTTTCAGCATACAGATCTTTTACATCTTTGGTCAGGTTTACTCCTAGGTATTTTATGATTCTTGGTGCAATTGTGAATGGGATCAGTTTCTTTATTTGTCTTTCTGTTGCTTCATTATTAGTGTATAAGAATGCAACTGATTTCTGTACATTGATTTTGTATCCTGCGACTTTGCTGAATTCATGTATCAGTTCTAGCAGACTTCTGGTAGAGTCTATCAGGTTTTGCATGTATAGTATCATGTCATCTGCAAAAAGTGAAAGCTTGAGTTCATCTTTGCCAATTTTGTTACCTTTGATTTCCTTTTATTGTCTGATTGCTGATGCTAGAACCTTCAACACTATGTTAAACAACAGCGGTGAGAGTGGACATCCCTGTCATGTTCCCGATCTCAGGGGGAAAGCTCTCAGTTTTTCCCCATTGAGGATGATATCAGCTGTGGGCTTTTCATAAATGGCTTTTATGATGTTTAAGTATGTTCCTTCTATGCCAACTTTCTCGAGGGTTTTCATTAAGAAACGATGCTGAATGTTGTCAAATGCTTTTTCTGCATCAATTGACAGGATCATATGGTTCTTATCTTTTCTTTTATTAATGTGATGTATCACGTTGATTGATTTGTGAATGTTGAACCAGCCCTGCATCCGAGGAATGAATCCCACTTGATCATGGTGAATAATTCTTTTTATATGCTGTTGAATTCGATTTGCTAGTATCTTATTGAGAATTTGTGCATCCATATTCATCAGGGATATTGGCCTGTAGTTCTCTTTTTTTACTGGGTCTCTGGTTTAGGAATCAAAGTAATGCTGGCTTCATAGAATGAGTCTGGAAGTTTTCCTTCCCTTTCTATTTTTTCAAATAGCTTGAGAAGGATAGGTATTATCTCTGCTTTAAATGTCTGGTAGAATTCCCCTGGGAAGCCATCTGGTCCTGGACTCTTATTTGTTGGGAGATTTTTGATAACTGATTCAATTTCTTCGCTGGTTATGGGTCTGTTCAAGCTTTCTATTTCTTCCTGTTTGAGTTTTGGAAGTGTGTGGTTGTTTAGGAATTTGTCCATTTCTTCCAGGTTGTCCAGTTTGTTGGCATATAATTTTGCATAGTATTCCCTGATAATTTCTTGTGTTTCTGAGGGATTGGTTGTAATAATTCCATTTTCATTCCTGATTTTATCTATTTAGGTCATCTCCCTTTTATTTTTGAGAAGCCTGGCTAGAGGTTTATCCATTTTGTTTATTTTTTCAAAAAACCAACTCTTGGTTTCATTGATCTCCTCTACAGTTTTTTTAGATTCTATATTGTTTATTTCTGCTCTGATCTTTATTATTTCTCTTCTTCTGCCAGATTTGGGTGTCTTTGCTGTTCTGTTTCTATTTCCTTTAGGTGTGCTGTTAGATTTTTTTGTTTGGTATTTTTCTTGTTTCTTGAGATAGGCCTGGATTGCAATGTATTTTCCTCTCAGGACTGCCTTCACTGCACCCAAAGCGTTTGGATTGTTGTATTTTCATTTTCATTTGTTTCCATATATTTTTAAATTTCTTCTCTAATTGCCTGGTTGACTCATTAATTCTTTAGTAGGGTGTTCTTTAACCTCCATGCTTTTGGAGGTTTTCCAGACTTTTTCTTGTGGTTGATTTCAAGCTTCATCGCATTGTGGTCTGAAAGTATGCATGGTATGATCTCAATTCTTGTATACTTATGAAGGGCTCTTTTGTGACCCAGTATGTGATCTATCTTGGAGAAGGTTCCATGTGCACTCAAGAAGAAAGTATGTTCTGTTGCTTTGGCATGCAGAGTTCTAAATATATCTATCAAGTCCATCTGATCCAGTGTATCATTCAGGGCCCTTGTTTATTTATTGATCTTGTGTCTAGAGGATCTATCCAATATTGTAAGTGGAGTATTAAAGTCCCCTGCAATTACCACATTCTTATCAATAAGGTTGTTTATGTTTGTGATTAATTGTTTTATATATTTGGGGGCTCCTGTATTCGGCATGTAGACATTTATAATTGCTAGCTCTTCCTGATGGATAGACCCTGTAATTATTATATAATGCCCTTCTTCATCTCTTGTTACAGCCTTTAATTTGAAGTCTAGTTTGTCTGATATAAGTATGGCTACTCCAGCTCTTTTGACTTCCAGTAGCATGATAGATAGTTCTCCATCCCCTCACTTTCAATCTGAAGGTGTCCTCAGGTCTAAAATGAGTCTCTTATAGATAGCAAATAGATGGGTCTTGTTTTTTTTATCCATTCTGATACCCTATGTCTTTTGGTTGGAACATTTAGTCCATTTACCTTCAGTGTTATTATTGAATGATATGGGTTTAGAGTCATTGTGATGTCTGTAGGTTTCATGCTTGCAGTGATGTCTCTGGTACTTTGTCTTACAGGATCCCCCTTAGGAATACTTGTAGGACTGGTTTAGTGGTGATGAATTCCTTCAGTTTTTGTTTGTTTGGGAAGACCTTTATCTCTCCTATTCTGAATGACAGACTTGCTGGATAAAGGATTCTAGGCTGCATATTTTTTCTGTTCATCACATTGAAGATTTCCTGCCATTCCTTTCTGGCCTGCCAAGTTTCAGTAGACAGATCTGTCATGAGTCTTATCGGTCTCCCTTTATATGTTAGAGCATGTTTATCCCTAGCTGTTTTCAGAATTCTCTCTTTATCGTTGTATTTTGCCAGTTTTACTATGATATGTCATGCAGAAGATCGATTCAAGTTACGTCTGAAGGGAGTTCTCTGTGCCTCTTGGATTTCAGTGCCTTTTTCCTTCCCCAGTTCAGGGAAGTTCTCAGCTATGATTTCTTCAAGTACACCTTCAGCCCCTTTCTCTCTCTCTTCCTCCTCTGGAATCCCAATTATGCATACATTATTTCCCTTAATTATGTCACTTAATTCTCTAATTCTCCCCTCATACTCCTGGATTTTTTTTATCTCTCTTTTTCTCAGCTTCTTCTTTTTCCATAATTTTATCTTCTAGTTCACCTATTCTCTCCTCTGCCTCTTCAACCTGAGCTGTGGTCGCCTCCATTTTATTTTGCAGCTCATTTGTAGCATTTTTTAGCTCCTCCTGACTGTTTCTTAGTCCCTTGATCTCTGTAGTAATAGATTCTCTGCTGTCCTCTGTACTTTTTTCAAGCCCAGCGATTAATTTTATGACTATTATTTTATATTCATTTTCCTCTATATTGCTTAAATCGTTTTTGATCAGTTCGTTAGCTGTCGCTACTTCCTGGAGTTTCTTTTGAGGAGAATGCCTACGTTTCATCATTTTGGATAGTCTGTGGAGTGGCATGGAACTACAAGGCTCTTCCTCTGTGCTGTCTGGAGTAACTTGAGTTGGTGCACGAGGCCGCGGTCAGATCTGATGTCTGCCCCCAGCCTGCCGCTGGGAGCCACAGTCAGACTGATGTGTACCTTATCTTCCCCTCTCCCAGGGGCAGGACTAACTTTGGAGTGGTGTGGCCTCTGTCTGGGCTACTTGCACACTGCCAGGCTTGTGGTGCTTCTTCAGTGGGATCTGGCGTATTAGCTGGGGTGGATCTGAAAGGTGCACAGGGGCAGGAGGGGTAGGCTCAGCTCGCTTTGCCTTCGGTGGTCCGCCTTGGGAGGGGCCCTGCAGCACCAGGAGGGAGGCAGACTCGCTGGAGGAATGGATCCACAGAAGCACAGTGTTGGGTGTTTGCGTGGTGCAAACAAGTTCTCTGGCGGGAACTGGCTCCCTTTGGGATTTTGGCTGGAGGATGGGCGAGGGAGCCAGCGCTTCCCACCTCCTTTGTTCCCCTGCCAAGCTGAGCTCTGTCCTCTGGGGCTCAACAACTCTCTCTCCCGCTCTCTGAGCAGAGCTGTTGACGTATAACAATCCAGATGTTAAGTCCCACTGGCTGTCAGAACACACTCCGTCCAGCCCCTTCACTTTTGCAAGCCAGACTCGGGGGCTCTGCTTGGCAGGCAGGCCGCCCCTCCGCCCTGGCTCCCTCCTGCCAGTCCGTGTAGTGCGCATCGCCTCTCCGCCTTTCCTACCCTCTTCTATGGGCCTCTCGTCTATGCTTGGCTCCAGAGAGTCCGTTCTGCTAGTC